TCCACAAAGTCCATGGTGTTCTGTATGTGGTGTTCTGAGCTGCCAACTAAAGGGATGAGTACAGACGCCAGATATTTGGAAACATTGTAAGTGACAGAGTTAATCATACTAACAATTGGTCTTAAAGGTACACCTTGTTTGTGGATTTTAGGTAAACCATACAGACTAGGTGTGGCCTCCCCTGGGTACAGTCTGTGGTACAGAATACGGTCAATAGCCTTGTCCTGCTCCAAAATTTTCAGGCAATCTATCAATTTCTTCTTGTAACCACTTCCTGGATCTCTTTTCAGAGGTTCATAAGTGGTTAAGTCACTAAGGAGTGTCGTAACTTTCTCATGATAGTCTTTCTGGTTCAAAATCACTGTGCACCTTCCTTTGTCTGCTGGGAGAATGATGATGTTTTTGTCCTTGCTAAGAGTGGTGAGTGCGTCCCTCTCCTCTCTACTGATGTTGGAAGGTGGTGGTTTGGCATTGCTGAGGCAGGATGAAACTTTGATTCTGAGCTGTTCTGCTTCACCCTCTTTCATTTTGTTGTTGCGGATGGCTGACTCAGTAGCTGTGATCATCTCCACCAGAGGAATTCTACTTGGTGCAACCGCAAAGTTCAGTCCCCTGGCAAGAATCTCTGTCTCCGGCTGGGTGAGCTGTCTGTCAGATAAATTCTTCACACACTATTTACATTTGAATAAGAACACAATAACAATGAATGTGCTGCATTAGAATATCTAAAGATGAATGTCTTTGAAGTACTTTAAAGTTTGGAACCCCACCCCCAACTGACCTGTAGATGAGCACAATGATGAGGACAATAAGGGCAACGATAGACGCCCCGATGCCGACTCCAATCTGAGCCTCCAGAGGGAAGGTGGACGGGATCAGGCTGTCATACTGAACCTTGCCCAGAGAGAAGTTCAGGTGGCCCATTTGTACCTGAAAAATACAAACAGAACTGTTTTACTTACAGTTAGAAGGAATTAAACAACAGGCCTCAGTGTCCAAATGTTCACAGAGTGTGGACTCACAGTGAACTCAGGAAGCTGGTCAGAGCCCTCACACTTCCTGCAGTTTGGACCTGCAGCAGGTTGCTGAGGGGGGGGCTCACAGTACAGATGGTTTCTGGTCAGGGTCTTCACGGCACACACCCCTTCCCCTATCAACACCATCACTTCCTCTTTAGTGATGGCCAGGTCCAGGTTGTCCCCCTGAGGGCACAGATTCAGACTGTTTGTTGGAGTGTTATAAAAATAAAACCAGATGACCTCAGGGTTTAGTCTAAAAAGTTTAATCAACATCAACTAGCTGTTTTATTTATTAACTAGAATGAACTAGTTTAATCTATAGATGTTCATTTAATCTGTTCCACAAATGGGCTCTTTGTAATGGAGTAAATAAAATGTACTAAGAATAAATGAACAACTGTTTAGACACTAATGCACCCCTATACGATCAGAGAGGAAGTTTTTTTGATCTGCTGGATGGTCCTGCTCTTCTTTAATTTAGAGAATGTGGCATTTATGGTCTCTAAAAATATTTTCAAATCTCTGTCTGTCCACATATCAGTTCTCCACTTTGCCTCAGTCCGCTTTGGGTCCAGAGACAATGGCAGCGGTTCTGGATGGTGTTCACATGACTTTTTTTCTACAAGATAGAGCTTTAAGCAGCATTTGTAGACGGCCCAGCAAACTGTGTTTATAATGATTTGTGGAAGTGTTCCTTAGCCCATGCAGCAGGGATGTACAATGAAGCTGTCTGGCATTTGGCAGCTGTGGTTGAGTGGTTAGAGAAGTCGTCCTCTAATGACAGAGTTGTAGGTTTGATTCCACCAATATGCAGTTACATGCCGAAGAGTCTCTAAGCCATATGTGTCAAATTCAAGGCCCGGGGGCCAAATGTGGCCCTCGTTGACATCTTATCTGGCTCTTAAGCAGATATGTGAAACGTAAAATACTTCTATTTCTTGAATTTTTTCAGTAATCTATGATTATGATATCAAAAACACAATAGAGAACATCAAATGAGACCAAACTCCTGTTGAGGAACCTGTGACCAAGAAAAGATGTTGGGTATCTGATTTGAGTTAATGTAGTTTCTGAAATTGGCCCTTAGTTTGAAAAAGGTTTTAATTTGGGCCCCATTTTGTAAGTGAGTTTGACACCCCTGCTCTAAGCCCTTCGTTGCCTCCAGTGTGTGTCCCATCAGTGTCTGAATGTGATCTAAAGCACTCATTAGTCTATGTAAAATTTTTATTGGGAATATCTTGTGTGTGGTCGGGTAAATGAGGGGACAGATTGTGTTATAAAGCACTTTGAATATCCTGGTTGGATAGAATGGCACAAGATAATTACAGTACCATTTACCATTGCCATTGGGTGATTACTGTCTAGCTTTGAAAATCACAATCTATTTGCGTGAGCATGGAGTGCGAACGTGTATTCTAGGCCTTGCATATTATTTTATTGGGCACCTCCTTCATGTTGTTCCCATCTCAAGATCAGCCCCCAATGTTTATGAATGAATCTACAGAGTACATTTCAGAAAAAAATGATGGGCAGATTTGAACCAGATTGAACCAGGTCATAGAAACTGTGGACCAGGAAGTGCGAAAAATGAGTGAGGGTGAAGTTCGGAAAGCCTTGAAGTGGATGAAGAAGGGGAAGGCAGTAGGACCTGATGACATACGAGTGGAGGTTTGGAAATGTCTTGGAGAGATGGCAGTGAGGTTTTGGACTCAAATATTCAATGGCATATTTGAGGGTGAGAAAATGCCTAAGGAATGAAGAAGAAGTGTGCTGGTGGCCATTTTTAGGAGCAAGGGTGATGTACAGAGTTGTACAGGGGAATTAAGTTGATGAGCCACACGATGAAGATCTGGGAGAGAGTTGTAGAAGCTAGACTTAGATGAGAGGTATTTGTGAGCTGCAGAATAGTTTCATGCTAAGAAAGAACGAGCACCACAGATGCCATCTTTGCTTTGAGGATGCTGATGGAGAAGTACAGAGAGGGTCAAAAAGAACTCAATTGTGTTTTTGTGGATTTAGAAAACACATATGACAGGGTGCCGAGGGAGGAGGTGTGGTATAGCATGAGGAAATCTGGAGTGGCAGAGAAGTATGCTAGACTGGTACAGGACATGTATCAGGACAGCAGGGTGAGATGTGCTGTAGGAGTGACAGATAGTTTCAAGGTGGAGGTGGGAGTGCTTTTTTTCTCTCTCTCTCTCTGTGCTCTCGGTGGAAGCAGACACGTCCTCTTCTGTTCCATCCCCCTGCTTCCCTAGTTTGCTCTCTTGTCTTGTGAACTCTTTAAAGAGCCTCTTTTTTTCCTGCATACCTTCCTAATTCGATGGATTTGATCAGCTGATCTCTCAATGAAATTGATCAACTTCTCCCAACAGAAAGTCAGGGGGAAAGGAGGACACTCTTACCTCAACATAAACAAAATTGGATTTATGATGACAACCGGATTCTGCTGTTTGGGTTGGTGAAATCTGGACTGTCTACAAATTCATGTGGAATATGTCGAAGCTTGGCAGTACTCAGACTGAATTATGTGGAGCTGCATCAGAGCTGAATCAGGCTGATATCAGGACTATGAACTTTCTGGCAGCACCCATGAATGGTTGGGAATAATCTTGGAGAAGCTGTAAGATCAATTTTTGGCGTAAATAATCAATTTGGCTGTTTGGAGTCCCCATCAGAGAATGTTCTAGTGAGACTTTAAAAGTCAGAAATGGCTATTTACGAGTTCTGCCTGACTCAAACTGTAGATCTGGACCTGGCCTTGAAGGTGGACTATCTCAATTCCTCCTGGTATGTTATAAAAAAACAAAGATGCACTGTCTGTCTCCTCACCCCTCTCTTCCCCAAGGCCATGGACATGTGACAGAATCTCAACCAAGCTGGATGATAACAAACACCTCTTATCTGGACAATGGCTGAGAGGGGCTCTGGACTATGCTACGACCTTCCCTAAAAACTCAATGCCTTCACCAGCCTCATATGTATTATGTCTATTTATGTTGCTTTGCTGTGGTAGATTTTTTTGATGCCTCAAACCGTACCCTGTCTAGGACATGGTGTGAGAGATATTTTTTTTAATACCTTCTCTCTCATGTTTTCTTCCCTTTGCTCATCTAAGCCTAAAAGTATTCTGAAAAGGATAAGAGGCCAGGCTCTTAAAGAGTAGCAGCAACGTGCACTCCGCCCATCTTTCGGACCACTGTATGGACATACTCTTGTTGTATCTTGGTACAGTGATAATAAAGCTTATTCTGATTCTGATTAATGATTGGCTCTGAACCCCTTCTTGTTTGTTCTGGTGATGGACAGATTAACAGATGAGGTCAGGCAGGAATCCCCGTGGACTATGATGTTTGCAGATGATGTGATCTGTGATGAGAACAAGAAACAAGTGGAAGAGAACGTTGAGAGGTGGAGGAATGCACTTGAAAGAAGAGGAATGAAAGTCAGCCGTAGTAAGACAGATACATGTGTGTGAATGAGAGGGAGCACAATGGAACAGTGAGGCTACAAGGAGCAGATGTCACAAAGGTGCAGGACTTCAATTACTTGGGAAATGGGGTGTGGAAAAGAGGTGAAAAAGAGATTCCAGTTAGGATGGAGTGGATGGAGAAAAGTTTCATAAGAGATTTGTGACAAAAGGATGTCAGCAAAAATCTAAGGAAAAGTTGACATAACAGTGGTGAGACCAGCTATGTTGCATGGTCTGGAGACAGAGACATGGAATAAAAGACAGGAAAAAGAACTGGAAGTTGCAGAAATGAAGATGTTGAGGTTCTCCTTAGGAGTGACAAGGATGGATAAGATTAGGAATGAGATCAGCAGAGGTACATTACAGGTGTAAGGATGGTAGCCCTCTGTTGGCTTCCCTGCGTTTGTACTCCCTAGTGTCTCTCCCTAATTGCCCTGATCAGTTCTACCCACGTGTCCTCCAGGCGTTTGTAATTGTCTTGTCTAGTCTGTGTATATAAGCCCTGGTCTGTGTCTCAGTCATTGTCGGTCCATCGTCTGGTATGCCTCCTATGATCCTTGTGTTTGCCCTGATCCTGTCCTGTAAGTTTAGCTACCAAGTCAGCTATTTATTTTGATTATGAAAGTGATTATTATTTTACGACCTTGCTTCTGAGTTCTGTCTGCACCATTGGGTTCTTCCCTGTCCTGCCTTGTCTGAAAACTGTGACAGTATGGATCGACCACAACAGAACCCAGCAGGCAGATCACCTTTACTCACCTGTTTAAAGGAGCAGACTCGGATGGAGGAACCCACGATCTGGTGCGTTGGGTTCCGGACCGAACCCGTCTGGACTTGTGAATGCTGAAGTCAGGCAGTGGAGATCCTGCCCTCCTCTCTTCTCGTGTTGGGAGGAGGAAAGAGACAAGTTCCAGCACCGGGTAGACTGCCTGATGTCTGAGCCCAGTTCCCCCTCCTCTCCAGCGCCGCTCGTCTCCTTGGGATGGACATCTGGGAAGGACGCAGAGCCAGAGGACGAGCTATATCTTGGTCCTGTCCCCCATCCTCACTGCCACCGCAGGAGCGGCAGAAAACGGAACTGGAAATGCTCCACCGTACCTCCGCCAGCACCTCCAACATGTTTGGCTGATCTGACTCGGCCCGGAGAGGCCGAGTTTCTTGGACTTGGTTCCGGCGCTTCGGTGAGGGGTGATCCAAACGTCTCACCTCCCAGGACCCCGGTGAGGGTTGGTTTTGGTACCTCACCACCGCACAAAGCTCTAAAAAGGACTAGGCCTGCCACCTCTTGGCCCCAGCCTCCTTCCTGCTCTCCTCTGGCACAACCTGAAATGCCAGGGAGAATTTCGCAGGGGGAGGGGCAGCCTGACCCCTGATTGTCAATGGAGCGGACGAAAGGGGATCAACCCAGAGGACAGTCAGAGCAGCTGTTGCCCTCTTACTCAGCTTGTCCTACACAGCCCGGCAAGGCTGAATATCAAGAACAGTCATCTTGTATCTCTGTGAGGGCTGATCCCTATGCCTCACCTTCCAAGGCCCCAGTGAGGATGGGAACTGATACCCCACCAACAGAGTTTGCCTCCGAGGACCCATCATTGGCAGTGAGCTTCTCTGATGTCAATAAAATAAACTCTATACTCTAAAACCTGTTTTCTTCTGCTAAACTCAGCCCGGACTGTCAAAACACCATGTTCTCTCTTGCTGAAAAAATATTACTATCTCAACCCGGTCTCACCCTAATCCCATAGTATCACCAGCTTTTGATTGAAATAAGGACTAGCAAAGAGCATCTTAATAATTTATCTCACACTGACCCTGTGCATAGACAAGTCTCTGCCCCAGAACCAGTCTCTGACTCCCCGGCTGCTGCAGACACTGACTCATCTCCACCAGATTTTGACTTCCCTGCTGCACAACCAGACTCTACTCCACACCCCGACACAGTCCCTCAGCTTGACTTTGCTCCACAACATGACACAGTCCCTCAGCCTGACTCTGCTTCACAGCCTGACACAGTCCCTCAGCCCAACACATTCCCTCAGCCTGACTCAGCTCCTTGTGTCTCCCTGGGCGCTGGCATCGATGCCCCACTTCTGAGTGTCTCCATGGGGTTTGGTCCAAAGGTCTCTTTACCTTCAGTTGTCTCGGTGGGGGTCCAGACAGACTCATCTCCTTTCTGTTCTGCTGTGGGGGTCCAGACAGACTCATCTCCTTCCTGATCTGCTGTGGGGGTCCAGGTGGGCACCTCTCCTTCCTGTTCAGCTGTGGGGTTCCAGGTGGGCTCCTCTCTGCCATTTCCTGTGGTGGTGTCCACGCTGCATGCAGCTCCTGATGTGGTCTCTACACAGGCAGCTGTACACCCAGAGGGTTCCACACTAGTTGCATCGCATGAGGTCTCCATGCCTCCTGTTGAGGGTTCCATGTCCTCAAGGTCTCCATGCTGCCACGCTGCTCGAGGTCTACATATCCGGCACACCTTGGGTCCACGCCTCACCTTGTGTCCATGCCTCACCTTGGGTCTACGCCCTGCCTTGGCTCTACGCCTCGCCTTGGTTCTTGGTCTCATCCAGAGGTCTTTGTTTCTCCTGAGGTCTCGACGACATCTGCAGCAACACCTTCCGCCCTCCCTGAGGCAGCCATGTTTTCCCTGCCAAAGAAAAAATGGAGCCAGCCTCAACCGATGAAGAAACAAAGCCAGCCTAAATTGATGAAGAAACTGAGCTAGCCTCAACCGACGAAGAAGCCAAGCCAGCTTCAGTCAACTTTCAGTGAGGTCTCTACTTCGCCTGCAGTACCTGGGGTCTCTTCGCCTCGTCCAGGCGCCTCACCTGAGGCCCGTACCTCACCTTGAGCTCACACCTCGCTTTGGGTCCATGCCTTGCCTTGGGCCCACACCTCGCCTTGGGCCCACGCCTTGCCTTGGTCCTTCTCTTTAGCTAGATTTCTCACTTTGTCCTGGCTTTTCACCTGTCCTGCTCTGGCATGTTGGACGCCCCTCGGCCGCCTGCCTGACCTGCTCCAGAGCTTGGGATGGCCTCTTGGCCGCCTGCCTGACCTGCTCGGGAGCTTGGGATGGCCTCTTGGCCGCTCACTCTGAACTCTAACCAGCCTAAAGATGGTCTCCTGACCATCCATACATTTTTGTGTTCCCTAGTTGTGTTTAGTTTAGACCCCAGGCTTTTGTCCTGCCAGGTTTTGTTTGTCCTTGTGTTTTCCTTGTGCTCTCCATCCTTGCAGTACCTCCCTCCTCCCACCCAGCCTGTTGGGGTGGGCTTTTTTGCCAGGGGGCATCCTTGGCGGAGGGTACAGTAAGGATGGTATCCCTCTGTCAGTCTCCATGTGTCTGGACTCCCTAGTCTCTCTCCCTAATTGCCCTGATCAGTTCCACCCGTGTGTCCTCCAGGTGTTTGAAATTATGTCTCATCTAGTCTGTGTATATAAGCCCTGGTCTGTGTCTCAGTCATTGTCGGTCCATCGTCTGGTATGCCTCCTGTGATCCTTGTATTTGCCCTGATCCTGTCCTGTAAGTTTTGCTGCCATGTCAGCTATTTATTTTTATTATGAAAGTGATTATTATTTTACAACTTCGCCTCTGAGTTCTGCCTGCACCATTGGGTTCTTCCCTGTCCTGCCTTGCCTGAAAACCATGACAACAGGTTGAACAACTGGGAGGTAAAGTTAGAGAGGCCAGTTTGGACATGTCCACAGGAGGGACAGTGGGTATACTGATAGGATGTTAGAAATGCAGCTGCCAGGAAAAAGACAAAAGACGATGGCCAAAGAAGAGAGGTATGGATGCAGTTAGAGGGGACATGAAGGTAGTTGGAGTGAGGACAGAGGACAGAGTGAGATGGAGGAGGATGACTCAGTGTGGAACTAAACAACAACTAACACATGCAGGATAGTGACCCTTGAACACAGGTTTTAATAAACTGTGATCAGGAAGACGGTGTTCTGGTCCAGTTGGCTTTCAAGATAAGAGCACTGACTGATGGAACCAAACATCTCTGACCTCCAGCTGTATGAAGCTGCCGGGGTTATAGTGATATGCCTTCATGGGTTCCAGCTGGTTCAGGGGCTGCAAAACCGGGTCGGGCTCGTAGCTGAAGGTCTGAGGGTTCAGAGCACTGAAGTCAAAGCACAGGTTGTCGAGCAGAAACTGGACTGTGAACTTTGACCGCAGGATGGATGAGTTCACCGTGGGGGAGCGGCACAATATGAGAGAGGAAGAGTTCACCTCGCATCGCTCCTGAAACTGAGGAAGAGGAGGGAGGTAAATGAGAAAGATGAATTATGTGACCAGCACACACATACAACTGCACACGCACACCTGTTGGCCTGAGCAGAAGGGCTCTCTGCAGCAGACAGATTCAGGAACCACCCTGGCCAGCTTTTGGGGGGTCCTCTGCCTCTCCTCCCTCTGCTGTTGGACCCCCCTCTTCCTCCTCCTTTTTGGACTGCTGGACTCATGGGGAAAGACACTCACCACCATGAGTGGCTGCTGCACCACATCCAAGTTGTTCCCAGATACAGAGATCATCCGACCGCCACTAACAGGGAGAAAAATTTTAAAAACTTGTTCAGATGATACAGCTTTAGAAATGTTACTAGAGCCTGATTTATGTTTGGACTGTTTTTGTCCTGTTGAGCTCTGAATTGTCAAAAATAATAGAATCATCCAAACCATCCACATGTCTGCTAGATCCCATCCCAACCAGACTGTTTAAAGACGTGTTTCCCCTAACTGATGTCCACATTTTGGATCTACTTAATTTGTCTTTAATAAACGGTTACATACCACAGAGCTTTAAGATTGCTGTAATTAAACCTTTACTTAAGAAACATAACCTTGACTCAGGAGTCCTAGCCAATTATAGACCTATATCTAATCTAACTTTCATCTAAAAAATTCTAGAGAAAATAGTTGCAGGTCAGTTATGTGATCATCTGCAAAGAAATAATCTATTTCAAGCGTTTCATTCAGGGTTTAGAGCTCACCACAGCACTGAATCTGCACGGGCGAAAGTTACTAATAATATTCTCATGGCCTCTGATAATGGACAGGTCCTTAGTGGCTAACAAGACGGCTAATGTTTTAGCCGTCTTGTTCCACAGCTGAGGACCGTAGCTTAGTGATATGATAAACTGCTGATTTATTAATGTTGCCACCTCTCTCTGTTCCTCTCAAAAGGCACAGCATGGCTAAATGAGTTTTGACCCGTGTTTGTTTCAGGGAAGGAGGCTGAGATCTGTCGTACCTGCAGCTTCATCACACACGCTTACTAACGTGAAGGTGGCACAGCTGAATGGACTGTACTTATACAGCACCTTTCTGTTTTATCAAGACACTCAAAGCTCTTTACAAGACAATCTATGCCCTCATTTACCCATCCATACAGCACTCTACTAGATGATCTATACAAAGATTAATCAGAGCGTTATCACATCCATACACCGATGGGACACACATAAGAGGCAATGAGGGATTCAGTGTTTTGCCCAGGGACACTTCAGCATGTAACTGTTGGTGGAATTGAACCCCCATCACTCCCATTGGAGGATGACTGCTCTAGCCTCTCAGCCACATCTGCACCCAGTTGAAGAGGATTATTATTTAATATATGTAAATAAAGGTCTAAAAAATAAACTATTTAATATATGTAAATAGTTGATTTTTAGACATTTATTTTGTACAGTTACCAGTGCCTGTGTGGCAGTTGGAACAAAGCTTTGACTCAGAAATATATTTTTGTTATTACTTTATGGAAATAAAAAAATATTGAGATAAATATGTCACAGGCCTGGCTCATGGCCCATAACAAGAAAGAGGGGAGACAAAGGCATGGGCCAATTAAAATAATTTTTTTCTACAAACAAAAACCCAAACAAGGATAATAAATATAAATGTGCCAATATGTTTGTGTCTGCAGTGTAAGAGTGAGTGGATCTGTAACTAAATGAATATGTCCAACCAAAACCAAACTGGAATTAAAGATGCAAGCAGCATTGGAGGCCCTCGCAGCAAAGTGACGCTCTGGCCTTACTTCGACTGCGGGAGCTCCAGCGACTTCACCCAGTCGCCATCGCGAATGCTCTCATGCCTATCCCACATGCGTCCACTAGGGTGTGCATATTCTGAATCTTTGAACTCACCTTCCTCCTACAGTATATCAGTATGAGTCCAGCTGCAAGTCTTACAAGTTTGGATACAATTTGACCTGCCAGACAGGAGTTGTTGTCACATCCTGTTTTTTAGTGAATGTAAAGGATATCCTTTAGGTCAAAAAAGTTAAATCTGGTCCTCTGGACATTCAAAAAACAAAACAAAGCAAAACAACAACAAAATATGTAGAACGTTTCATCTTTCATCCGAAAGTCTTCCTCAGTCTGAGGTGCTGTATTCAGCTCAGTCTCTTAAATAGCACCTTCTCAGAGTGGATCAACCAGTTTTGCTGCTGACAACCAGAACCAGCTGCTCACATGCTCAAGAAGGACCATCAGCCTAACAATGGATCATTAGCACCTGATGGCTGTTTACTGTTCACAGAGGGCTGAGTGATACTAGCAATCACAGCATTGTAAGAGGGGGACAGTTGAACCCGGAGGCTCCGCCCCTGTTTAACGATGGACGGTTTCTTTTCACAAAGATGGCCTCCTTTACTCCTCTCTCAAACCATCGTTCCTCTCTGTCCAGGATGTGAACATCTTCATCCCTGAAAGAGTGACCTCTGACCTGGAGATGAGTGTAGACCTCAGAGTCCTGGCCTGATGATGTTGATCTTCTGTGCTGGTCCATCCTTTTGGCCAGTGGCTGTTTAGTTTCCCCGATATAAGACTGATCACCCTCCTGACACTGAACAGCATACACAATATTATTCTGTTTGTGCCGGGGGACTGGATCTTTGGGATGAACCAGTCTTTAATGTATTTTGGGGTTTAAAAGCCACTGGGACGTTATGTTTAGAAAATAAACGTCTCAGTTTCTCTGATACTCCCTCAACATATGGAATGACCACTGGTCTGGGTCTGGGTTCCTCCTTTTCACCTGATGGCTGACTGGAGTCCTGTTTGGGTTTCTTCTCTGCTTTCAGGAAGGCCCAGTTAGGATATCCACATTGCTCTAGAGCCTGTTTTGTGTAGGATTTCTCCTTCTGCCTGGCTCCTGAGCTAGTGGGGACGCTGTCTGCTCTGTGATACAGAGTCCTGATGACTCCTAACTTGTGCTCCAAAGGGTGATGGGAGTCAAACTGCAAATACTGGTCTGTGTGGGTGGGTTTGTAGTACACCTCGGTTTGCAAATGTCCTCTATCAGAGACTGAGACCTCACAGTCCAAGAAAGCCAACTTGCCATTTTTTACATCTTCTCGTGTGAACTTGATGTATTTATCCACAGAGTTGATGTGGTCAGTAAAATGTTGGACTTCCTGAGATTTAATTTTAACCCAGGTGTCGTCAACATAC